TTTGGAAGGGCCCCTTTAAAGGATCAGACATGGCTTAGGAGATTCTTAGCATTTAGGTACCTGCCATGTGGAAGATGTAAATGGTGGATAGGCAGAGTTATAGCAGTGCAGGGAGGACTTGAGCAGAAACTGGTAGGGTAGGAGGCCTTTATCCTACTATGCAGGAGAAAGAAAGGAGGAGGATGGATAAAAAACTAGCCAAGCCCATGTCTTCCAGACGACCTAGGCTCTAGGGCTGGCCAATGTTGATGGGGAAGGGGAAAGAGAGATGAGTGTTAACTGGAATGAATTTTTTTGTTTGTTTTTGTGAGGTTTTTGTTGTTGTGGTTGTTGTTTTTGTCGGAGAGAGCATGTGTGCCCACAGGGGAGGAGCAGAGGGTGAGGGAGAGAGAGAATCTCAAGCAGACTCCACACTGAACATGGGTCCCAATCTCATGATCCTGAGATTATGACCTGAGCAAAAATCAAGTCAGTTGTTGAATCAACTGAGCCACCCAGGCAACTCCAGAATGGATTTTTCGATTCTAGGAGGCTATTAAGGGGCTGAAAAGGGAGCCTTGACAAAACATGTTTGAAGACACTAATTAGAGGAAAACCAAAGCCATTTTATGTTTGTAACCTATCAGTTCTGACTATCCCATAATCTGATTACCTTTAGAGTAGAGATAGCTTTCAAAATTTAAGAGTTTCTCTTCAAAGCAGTATATTTCTGAATTCAAAACTTGGTCCATCACAAAATATGTATCCCAAAAGATGTTAAAATATAAAATAGGGGCAAGCCAAGATAAGTCATCTGAGCTCATAGACAGACTGAGACAGTGCATCAAGCCATCCGCTTTTTTTTCAGAATCTGAACGATTTTGAAATGTTGAGGTGGAGAGAGTAGAAGGTGGGAGAGAATCTCCCATACTTGGGCTTTACAGATTCACATTTCAGCTACACTGAATCCAAAGATCACCTTGCTTATTCCTGAAGAACATACATCTTTTTACACAAAGGAAAACTAAACACACACAGTCACTTTTTTGTAAATAGGTTCCATATGTTTGTATACATTTTTGTTGATAAATTCTTAATATCTATATAATTAGGCAGGGGAATGGAATTGTTTCAGGTTATATAAAATGCATAATTAACAGCTTTTAGCTAGAGACAGAATTAGTAATCAGGCGTTAATTTCAATTTTCTTTCATTTATGTACCTACTTACCTCTGGCTATTGTAAGACTGTACATTTATTAATTTTCACTCCACCAAAATCATGCTGTAGCTTTCATGGCTGACCTTGATTGTGCTTGTGGTTACACTCTTAACATCAGCATATAGCAGCTGCCTGTTGTGTTCTACTCTCAGCTGAACCTATGTAAGCAGATGTCTATCCTGAGACTGTTTCTGCCCTTCTCCACAATCTGTGTGTATGACCAGGTATGGGAGATCCTCTCTCCCTGCCACTCCCTATCCCCAACATAAATGTATGATTATAGATCCCAAGTAATCAACAGCTGGATACACTCTCTGAGTCTTTTCATAAACTCATATCCAGTTTCCTTGGCTTAAACCATTTTATAGTTTTATTTTATGAGTTTTTGCATACATGCTTTGACAACCTATTACAGTATGTGTTCTTTGAGGATACAAGGGCTATATCAAGTTCATCTTGTTTTTCCATTGTAAAGTCAAGAAACACTGTGATTCCATAGAATGGGGAAGGAGAAATTCATCAGTTCTTTTCTGTTTCTCTCTAACTCTCCTTAGCAAATATAAGAATATAAGAATTTTTCTTACATCTTTAATCTTCTTTCTCTTGCAAGATTTCATGTAGGCATGGTAGTACACTTTACTTTTAAAGGTATATATGTGTATATGTGTGTATATGTATTTGTATGTAGGCATAGTGTGTGTGTGTGTGTGTGTGTGTGTGTGTGTGTATAGGCTTATATCAATCCCACTGAATATGTTGGCTTAAACCAAAGCACCTGAAATTATACATTTAATAACTATGGGTAAGTCTTGTTCTGAAATGGCCTATTTTCAATTCTTATTTATTCATGTTAACAGAAGAAAAGGATGTTATAAATAATGCAAAAATCACTTACAGCTGACTTAGTTATATATTGTATATTTTTCATCAGACTTAGTTTCTTAATTGTTTGCTCTATTTATTACCCAAATGAGCTAACATCATGAGTATTTAACAAATGATGATTGGTGGAGATGGCTAGGAGCATTTTATGTAGTGGGAAAATCCAATCTAGTGTTATAAACTTGCTATGGAAAATTCACATATGGATGATTGATATTTACCTTACACAAGGGACTAATATTCTGTGATGCAAAAGAGATGTGAAAATAGTTGGTATTTTGTCTATAATCTGTTTCTGAATGATTCAGTCAGAATTTTGGCTTAATATTTTATATAATGTGAAAAACAGAGTTACAGTGCTTCTCCACTATGACAGTAAAATTGAAATGTATTTGGAAAAATCACTTCTTCCAACTTATTAACTGGCAATCAGAATTCAAATAAAAGAAGAAATTGGTTCAAGTGAACAGAAAAGCAAAAGTGGGTAATAGATATAAACAGAGCTCAAACTGAATCTAAAATAATGAATGTGAATATTTTTCTACACTCCATATATTAATTGCCCATATAAGCAAAATACTATGTAAATATAAAGCTTGCTTTTGTTGGGTATCGTAAATGAAATATGTAGAGATTATCCATTAATTACAAATTCCCAATTCAGTTTTCACATTCAAATAGCATTCACTCCAAAGTATTATTTCTGTATCAACTGTCGGTGATTATGCCTCAATTTTTGTTTTAACTGATACTATGAAAAGTAAAAATGTAAAGAAAAAATTTGACCATTCATTGATAAAGGTGTTGTAGAGTGGAGATCTTAAAAATGTTTTATCACTCAATGTTTACGTGATACCATACCTTTGAAAAATTCATACTTACAATTTTTACATATTTGACTAGGACCTTGGCATAAGTGTCAAAAAAGGCATAAATAAAAAAGTAAAGTACATCAGTTTGAGAATATGGAAGTGAACTTTTATATCACAGTGTAGGAACAAGCTGGAGAAATTTCTTTTATGAGTCATTTCTGGATGAAACTATAAACTTTTTTTTAGCCAAAAGCTGTCATGGTTTCTTGTAAAATAATAAAGATAATAAAGATATCCATTTTAATTGATTCTTTTCATTGTTTAATAAAATTGCTTTGTTTGATTGCTGAAGAATTTGAATTGAGTTTTCATTACCCACTTCTGAACAATTTACTCTAAGATCCAGACAGTATTGAGCTAATGAGTTTGAATTTATATTGAACCTTAACTGTCTTCGTGAAGTAAATGGAAAAAAATCATGGCAGTAACTAAGTATTCTTCATTAAAAACTATGTCGTAGAGATTTTACAATGAGGTTTTTAATAGAGCTAAAGCATTGAAATTGGAGTTTTACCAACTTTACTGTTTCTAAGCACATTACAAGAAATATGATTTCCTTTTTTAAGAAATGAAAACTCATAAACTGATGGGGGACATTACAGAAATTTTCTTTCAAGTGGGTAGTTTGTATATTCAACAGATTCAGTTAAACAATAAGTTAATTTAATTTGGGGACATATCTAAATTCAAATTATTCATAAACACCTTCTAAGATATATTCTATTAGGGTGTTTCAGAATCTACTGAAATCTAAGACATGGCCATCATTATTAAGATACCAGCCCACAAATGTACTGTTTTGACTTTGATACTATATTGCCATAATCACCAACTTTTGTTTCTCTGTAGTTGGAAAAAGGTGATATATTTATTGATACACACACATTTCATTTATAAACCTTTATAAAGTTATCTCTTATGTTCTTTGTACTATTTCTAACCAAGTGGGGGCATTTAATGATTCCATGTTTAGGATTTGTGGTGGAATTCCATGAGGAACTTTAATTCTGAATGGTGGCTAGAATATCACTTAATATAAGGATAAGTCTACAACTACCAGGGGTCTTCTGTTCCACAAAGTAATTAATTCTCTAGGTATATAACAGAACCCATTGTAACTTAATTTGGTTAGTCAAACTAGATTAGACTCCAAAAATAGGCTAAATATTGTAGAATTTTTTTTTTTTTAATTGAGAACCTATGTAAGATAAAAACAAAAAAGAAAATATGGTTTGGGGGAAATTTACTTACTTGAAATTATATCCCCAGAAGTTGCCTGGCCAATATCCAAATGGGGTATACTGTCTAAAACCTCATTTCAAAATAAATAAGTAAGTAAGTAAGTAAATAAATAAATAAATAAAACCTCATTTCAAATTAATCATTAGAAAACTGGGAATAATATTGTATCTGATTGTATATATCCATTCCCCACAAGCAGCAGTGATGTCTCCTGGGATAAGGAAACACCTTACTCTTACCCACCCCAGGGTTCTCATGCTTCTCTTACCCCACTCTGCATTCCTGGACCTCGCAGCCTCGCACTTCGTCATCCTCTCCACCCCCTTCAGCAGAACCACCTTCTGCCAAATTGTATAATGGCATGTCTTAGCACTAAAAGTAGTTGCACAGAAAAAAGAATCTAATTATTGGATAGTAAAATATAGGACAGAATAAAGAGATAATTAATTGTGATAAGCTAAAAAAAAGCCCTCATATTTTAAACAAGAATGAGACTGATCAGAAGAATAATACAACAAGAAATTGACCATTTGTATGAAACACATGACGCGTGGTGACAGGATAAAACATGGCACCGGACTAGTTAGCCTTAAAATTAATTCCCTTGAGTGGTGAGTGGATATTGTTGCCTAAAAGGGGACAAATATTTTTCCTTTGGCAATCATTATTAGAACATCTTTTAAATGCTTAAATTTTCAATGATTTATGTTTTTTGCCATTTTAATAAATGAGATATACCATGTTTCATAGTTTTCATAGTTTTATTTGACCAGAGCAGTGATGATATATGTATATTTTTTATAGGACTGGAACTTCCTTTCATGATGATGCCCCATCCTCTAATCCCTGTCAGCCTACCTCCAGCATCTGTCACCATGGCAATGAGCCAGATGAACCATCTCAGCACCATTGCAAATATGGCAGCAGCGGCCCAAGTTCAGAGTCCCCCATCCAGAGTTGAGACATCTGTCATTAAGGTAACTGTTTTCTTACATGATTGTTTTGGCCTCTACCAAACGTCATCTTAAACCGCCATCTCTTAATCTGTGATTTTATTATACACCTCTAACTTCAAAACAGCCAGGTGATAGGAAATAAATTATGAGGAAAAATCACTTACAGTAATTAGAACCAGGTAGAAACAGGGGTATAATACTAAACCATACTAGGTTAGGCTACCCTTACATTCGGTGTTGTATCTATTAAGAGAAAGATGAACACAGGAAATGAATTGATACATTTCAAATAATGCGTGTGTTTAAATGGTTGTATTAGCAGGGCATGCGTGTGTATACACATGTGGTGTTATGAGCCTTAAGGTGTGGAAAAGTATTTGATTTGTTTTTAGAAGACAAGAAGTGTTAAATTATGGTTTTGCCACTTAATAGCTGTGTTGCCTTGGGCATGTGACTCAATCTTTCTAATTCTATTCTCCATATAAAAAATAGATAATATGGTATAGGTGAAAAAAATAAACAAAATGATAAAATTCATTGTTTTTTATAAATTCAAAAATACACTATATGTGGAAGATAACATTGTTGTTATACAAAAATCACATGTGTGTATATACACAATTTTTTCTCTCCCTCCCCTTGTGTGGGAAGTTATGTGTATACCTATATATATGTATGGGTATACTTTTCACTTATTTTATAATGTGTATTTATATCAAATTACTTTAAGTGCACTGTCAGAATATATTATTAATTTTTAAACTAAAAGATACCTCATGCTCATCTTTATCTGACATAATCATTACCTTGTTTTCCTGAATATAATACACTTGAATTTAAGGGAGCCTCTGGAGCATGTCTTACATAAAAGGTCCTGTTAACAATTCTTATTCATTGCTGGTAAAAATGCAAAATGATATAGCCATTTTGGGAGACAGTTTTGTGGTTTCTTGCAAAACTAAACATACTCTAACCATATGATTGTATATTTTGCCACCTCCTTGGTATTTACCCAAAGAAGTAGAAAATTTATGTCTACACAAAAACTTGCACATGGGTATTTATAGCAGCTTTTTAAAAAATAATTGCCCAAATTTGGAAACCACCAAGATGTCTTTTAATAGGTGAAAGGATAAAAAAAAAATGGTACCTCGTGACTTTGTTAAATTAACATTTGTTAAATGGACCGTAGGGTGCTTGATGGTGAATCATGGTCCAACAACAGATTATAAGAAAAACTGAAGTAGAGAACTTTATTACTCATGAGTCCTAGAGGAAGTACCCAGAGGTGTACCTCAAGGGATCACATGATGAGGTCAAGGCAGAGTTCAAAAAGAACAAGGCAGGATCTGGGGCAGATGCCTATATTAAGGTCCATGGGTAGAATTCTTTGAGGTTCCTTGGCTAGGCCTAGATTGGTCCATTAAAACCAGAAGAGCTGAATTTTGGTAAACCCCACAGGGGTCCTATGTAAGAGGAGACTGCTAATCTCACATGCTGTTGGGGGAGATCCTATCAGGGACTTATATTTGCCTGTGACTCTGTGGTTGCTATCTGGGGCATGTATGTGTTTGCAAGTCCCTCCAGGACAGTTGGCCAAACAAAATGGATACCCAGGCAGCAAGACCATGGAGTAGCTTAGCTAAACTCTTGATGTCATATAATGGAATTATTATTCAGAACCGCAAGGAAATGAGCTATCAAGCCGTGAAAAGACATGAAGAAAACTTAAATGTATACTGGTAAGTTAAAGAAGCCAGACCAAAAAGATTACACACTATGATTCTAAGTGTAAGACACTCCAGAAAAGGCAAAACTATGGAGATACTAAAAAGATCTATGGTTCCAGGGCATGACAGGGATGAATAGGGAGAGAATAAGGAATTTTTAGGACAATTATAATGCTCTGTATGATACTAAATGATGGGTAATGTCATTATACATTAAAAAGAAAAAAGGCCTTGTGACTACTTATATAGAATGTTGAATAATATGCTAATAGCAGTTTTTCTTACAATAATGGCTCTATAAACAAAGATGTATACTAGTCCCTCATATCATTTTCGGAAGTATCCATATCAGGAAAATTATAGATAGACAAATAGATTATAATATATAATTATATTATTTCTGTATTATGATATATAGATATTCCATTATTTTCTATAAATATATATATTACAGAAGACCCAGATCAACTTAAAAATCTTTAGCTGAGAAAATGCCAGTGAACACTACATAAAAAGAAAAAAAAGGAAAAGAAAAGGTACTAAGTATTATAGAATGTGATTATTCTAATTTTTGAAAATTTAGTAATGATTACTATAGAGAATCACCCTCATAATATTAATTATATAATGTTCACTCTTGAAACTGGGAATTTTTATAATTTCTCATTACACAAGATTTAGATTAATAGTTAAAGGAAAAATATGGCAGAAGAGCAGAATTTAGCAGCTTAAAATCTTTTTTTTCCTAAGGATTTATTTATTTATTTATTTATTTATTTATTTGATAGATATCACAAGTAGGCAGAAAGACAGGCAGAGAGAGAGGGAGAAGCAGACCCCCTGCTGAGCAGAGAGCCGGATATGAGGCTCGATCCCAGGACCCTGGGATCATGACCTGAGCTGAAGGCAGAGGCTTTAACCCACTGAGCCACCCAGGCACCCCAGCAGTTTAAAATCTTAATGGGTGACTTTGTTATAAACTCTATCTAGGTAAATTGGACATCAGCTAGTAGCACATGGATCCAAAAGACTCCAATTACATTAGAAGCTTGGTTTGTTTTATATTTTCAATACAGATATATATATATATATATATATATTTTAAAGATTTGTTTATTTATTTGACTGACAGAGATCACAAGTAGGCAGAGAGGCAGACAGAGAGAGAGGAGGAGGAAGCAGGCTCCCCGCTGAGCGGAGAGCCCGATTTGGGGCTCGATCCCAGGATCCTGAGATCATGACCGGAGCCTAAGGCAGAGGCTTTAACCCACTGAGCCACCCAGGCACCCCCAGATATATTTTTAAAATAGTTTGTGTTTTATCAGATGTTGATTAGAATACTTAAGTGAAACTTCCTTTAATAAATCCTTTATCGTCAGAGTTAAGGTAAGTAAGAGGAAGGAGTTGGGTTTCCTCCAAAAGGCATCTATAGAAAACAATCTAGATTACTGAAAAGTCAGCAACATTCCTGTGGTTTCTTAAATTAAGGTTGGCAGTAGAAAGGAGGGAGATAGGGAAAAAGGAAGGAAATATGCAAAAAGGTAATAAGAAAGGGATGGAGCTCTGTGTCTTGAAATGTGTGCCAACACCCCCCACATTATAGTGATATCGCATTTCCTAGTCTCTTGGGGCAAATATTTTCAGAAACTTGGCTATGGATAGATTAAAGGAAATTATGGACTTTTGAATGCACTGGTGGTATAAGTGATCATAGTAGTTAAATAAGAAACAATGGCTCCAATTAAGAATGATTAGAGAAAATAAAAACTGATAGTTTTTAATTTATTATTTATCATTAGTAAAACAAAGCTGGTGGCTTTAATTGCCAGCGTCAAAGTGAAGTTCCGTTGGTCATTGTGAAGTTCTGAAGGGCCTATCTGCCCCTTTCCTCTGATGCTAGCCACCTGTATACTTTCAAATTTGATGCTGACAGGTAAGGATCATAGAGAACAAACAGTTTCAAGAAAAGCATGAGACAATTCTAATAATTTTTGTAAAAAAAATAGCCAGACTGGTAAAAAATTGAGAGAATGGCCCCAGAGAATAAGGGTGAGGAATAGGTTCTTTACCGAATTCTAAATATTAGGGGAAACAAGTTAATAAATCAACCTTCCTAAATTTCTATACAATGGACTTTGTAGCAAAACCAGTATTCAGTAAACTCCCGTGATATGTATCAGTTAAACTTAATGAGGGAAGTTTTATTTTCCCCAAGAAAATGTTTGACTCCTCTGTCATATTAAATAGTATGAAACCCAAGTGGGCAATTAGAATAATGCTTGCAACTTTGCCTGAAAAGATTCTAATTGTGAAGACCTATTAAAAGTGAAATGTTAAATGCTAGAGAAGAAGATATACCCCCATCTGAAGGAATGATGGAACTAGGGAAGTAGGCTTGAAGGGAAAATAGAAGTTTGAGGGGTTTTTCATGTGCTGGAACATACCATTTATATTTTTGAGAGTAATGATAAGACTTAAAATGATAGCTCAACCTACAAGAGAATGGCAATAATTTATAGGACAGCGGTGCCTGGGTGGCTCAGTGGGTTAAGCCTCCATCTTTAGCTTAAGTCATATCTCAGAGTCCTGGGATCAAGCCCCGCATCCTGCTCTCTGCTCAGCAGGGAGCCTGCTTCCCCCCTCTCTATCGGCTGCTCTGCCTGCTTGTGATCTCTCTCTCTGTCCAATAAATAAATAAAATCATTAAAAAAAAGAATTTATAGGACAGACGAGAAGTGAAAACAAAGCTCTCAGAGTTACATATTTTAAAGCATTCTATACTTACCTGTTTCTAGAAGGTAAAGGAGCTTCAATGACTTTCTCATAAACTTATTTATGAGAAGGTACATACTAGTACATGCAATGGAACAGTGTCCAAAAGTTGTTTCCTTGGGTAACATTCACCCTGCTTCCCCAGTTTTGGCATGGACTGTGAGTTAAGAATGGCTTTATACTTTTAAGTGGATGGGGAGAAATATCATAGGAAGGAGAATTTTTCATGACACATGAAAATTCTATGAAATTCAAATTTTAGTGTCCATAAATAAAATGTGTTTGTAACTTAGCTACTCTCTTTATATAATGTCTATGGCTATATTCACATACAGAGCAGAATTGAATAAAATATTTACTAGCTGGCATTTTACAGAAAGTGATAGCTGATACCCACATTAGAGCTGTTGATTAACTCAAATACATGTGAATCTTAGGCTGTGGATAATTGATGCAGCTAAAGCTAAACTCTCAAACATTATGGGGCCACAGGATTTGGTGTGGAAAAATCAAAGAAAC